TTGATTTATGGCAAGGCGTGTCATCTACCGGTTGAATTGGAGCATAATGCGTTTTGGGCAATTAAGAAGCTGAATTTCGATCTTGAAGCGTGCAAGGAGAAACGCATGCTCCTGCTCAACGAGCTCGATGAATTGAGATTGAATGCATATGAAAGCAATCGTGTATACAAAGAGAAAACCAAGCGTTGGCACGATGACAAGATATTGCATCGAGAATTTCAAAAGGGGCAATTGGTTCTCCTCTACAACTCCCGTCTAAAGTTGTTTCCGGGAAAGCTCAAGTCAAGATGGTCCGGACCGTTTACTGTACTCGAAGTATTTCCGCACGGCGCAGTCGAGTTATTGGATCCCGAAACCGAAAAATCGTTTAAAGTCAATGGGCAACGCCTCAAGCATTATCGTGGAGGGGAATTTAATCGCCAAGTGACTTCGGTCACGTTAACTTGAACAAAGAAGCAGACAAAGTCCGACTGAAGACTGTAAACTTAGCGCTTCTCGGGAGGCAACCCGAGATTTTGTTTTTTTCTTTTATTTTCTTTTATTTTAGTTTTTTTTAGTCTTTGCTTTTATTTTATTTTAGCTTTTAAAAAAAAAACAAAAAATTAGTTCCAGGGGCACTAATATAAGAAGTTTTTATTTTTCAGGGGTCAAAGTGCTATTTCTGAAATTATTCACTCGGCCGTGAAAAAAAAAATTTAGTTTCAGGGGCACTAATATAAGAAGTTTTTATTTTTCAGGGGTCAAAGTGCTATTTATGAAATTATTCACACGGTCGTGCCAGAAAAACGGCAGAAATCTCACACGGCCGTGTGAGATTTTCGAAGTGCTACTGTATAAAATCGGCGATGGGCGCGGCCGTGCGAAAAAAGTAACTAAAATTCGCACGGCCGTCCGATATTTTGAGAGGCTACTACAAAATCGAGAAGTGGCGCGGTCGTGCGGATTTTACACCTAAATCTCGCACGGCCGTCCGAGGTTTTAAAAGGCTACTGCCCAAAATCGAGAAACGGCGCGGCCATGCGGATTTTATACCTAAATCTTGCACGGCCGTCCGAGATAAAAAAAAAACGGGCAGATTAAAATAGGGTTTTCCAAAGCACAATTCTCACAATTCCAATTCCCCTCTCTCCCCACTTCGAACCCTAACCCCCTCCTTTCAAAATTTTCGAGTTTCTTTCAATAATTTCACCGAAAATTCACCCATTACACACTTATAATACTCAAACACGGTGATTTGTTGTTGATTTGTGCAGGGAGGATTCAAGAAAGGTGCAATTTTCTCTAAAAACCCATTCAATAAGGACCGCCCACAAGGTGTTCGACGATTTTCCCGAGTCAAGTTTGGGGGAAATTTTTCGCACCAATTCACTTCAAATCCCCTCCACAAGCATTCTCAGATCATGGGGAAACGAGGACGTGACGGGGAGGGCACCTCACAAGGCGAAGGCACTTCAAAAAGCAAGGGGAAGGGCAAGAAAGCCGATCAAATTCCAACCCCCGATGACGATTCTTTTTGTGTCGAAGGCGCCAAGGCTCGTTTTGAGAAACAAAAAGTGAAGAAGCTTGTGACGGAGCGCGCGTATGAGATCACCCTTCCACAATTTGCCCCGTTGCATCAAGAATTCATACGACGAGGGTGGCAAACATTATTGGAACCGGAGGGGTCGATCAACTTATCTTGGGTCCGCGAGTTCTACGCCAACACCCGTATCCTCCTAACAACGGATCGGAAGTCGAGCACGGTTCGAGGAAAGCGGGTCGATTGGTGTGCCAAGGCCATCAATACATTCTATAACCTCCGGCATGAGCCATTCAATTGGGACCAAATGCAACTCGCGGTCACAAGAGATCAACTCGCCGAGGTGTTGTGCGATGGCCCCCCAATTTGGTCCAACCTCTCAACCGAGGAGGCATACGAGTTAGAGTGGAAATACATCCACCAAATAGGCAAGGCGTGCCTTACTTTCATCTTTGCCAACCTTATCCCCACCCGCTCGTGGACTCACGTAGATCCCGAACGGTGTGCTCTTGCATATTACATTCTTAAGGGCACACCGATCAATATTGGCGAAATTATATCCGACCGGTTTTGGACCTCCATGGTCAACAACTCCAAAGGGTTTTATTTCCCTTGCCTCGTTACCGGTCTATGCAAGAAGGCGAAGGTCCCAACCAAAACGACGGATATTCTCACACGAATTCGGAAGCCGATGAGTAACCTTGCGGCCCGACAATTCAAGGCACCCATCCACGATGGCGAGCAACCCGTCGATAACCAACCATTAGCTCCACCCGAGGGTCCAAGCACAAGTTCGGACCGCCGTTTTCAAAGAAGAATGGAGCGAGAGTTGGTGATTACTAGAAATCGGCTTGCCACGGTGGAGCACAAGGTGAGCACAATCGAATCCCTTCAACGGTGGTCGGGGAAGATGCTCCAAGCCATTGTGCGTCATTTGGCGTGCGGTACTCCCAAGTGCGCCGAACCGGAACCATTGCCCGCACCGATTCTAGAGCCGGTACCCGAGCTATTGGAGGATGACGAGGAGGACGATGCTCATGCACATGGTGGAGTTGGTGAGCAACCCGATGATGGTCCCAACGCTTAAACAGGTGTTTTCTATCCTTAAACTTCGGGCGAATCACATTGAGGGCAATGTGAATTTTAAGTTTGGGGGTGGTTAATTATTTGTTTTCTTTTATGTGCGTTTTATTTGTGTTTTACTAGTTTGTTAGTTTGCATGCTCTAGTTTGTGTTTTAGTTGTCGTTTTATTATTTCCGTTTTATTATTTGCTTTAAAAACAAACAAAAAAAAAAAAAAACAAATTTTGGTTCGACGCATCGATGAATTGTGATGATGGGAGATGGTCAATGTTTGATGATGAGATTGGTTGTTTTATGTTGATAGGGATTAGATACTCGTTTAGCTTTCGATTCAACGGAACGTAGAAGTGAATTATTGCTAGGAATCACACCTTGTGCATTGCTTTGGTTGAATCATGCTTTGTTCGGTTTTAAATCTCACCTTAGGACATTTATGATACGAAGTATTGGGTAATAAGTAATTTGGGATATGATTTGGGCCTTCTTTGAACCGTTTGAGCCTTTCAAGCCTACCTTTTTATCGAATTTATCCTTAGAACCTTGATTTGAGCCTCGGAGAAAAGGTGTTCTTTCTTTTAGCCAATATGTAGAAGGTAGAAAAGTGGAGATTTTTGAATAATTACCCCGTGGAGTTCGGTCGAAAATTCTTATAAGGTCTTCTTCTTCGAAAAAAAAAAATTAGAAATATATATGTGCATCTATATATATATATATATATATATATATATATATATATATATATATATATATATATATATATATATATATATATATATCTAAATTCGAAAAAAAAAAAAAAAAAAAAAGAGAGAAAAGAAGAAGAAGAGATTAGATGGGAGAAATAAGGACTAGTTGTTGACTTGTTTTGAAAGCTCGATCCATTCTCTTAAGAGCAAAAGTGGAGACTTTTGAACTTTTAAGAATCGAGTTTATTAAAGTCCTTAGAGGTGAATTCATTGTTTCAAACGCCTTTCTTTCAAAATTTTGGCGTAATCACCTCAATTCAATAAATTAGCCACACATACCCATATTACCTACCTCGGACCAAAGAGCCTTACAATTGAAAGCCACAAAGTCCCAATGATCCCAATAGCTTAATGTTCAATATTAGTTGAGTAGAATATGCATGTAAGTATAAATTCTTTCTATCTTTAATTTGCAAATATTGGATACTTGAAGCAATTGTATGATTTGTGGTTTTTGGTGATAGTGAGTGACTAAGTGCCGTTGACTGTTGAGCTTGCGAATGCCTAAGAATTGTCATCATAATTACAAGTTCTGAAAACGCGAAATTGAGCCATTGATCTATGTAATGAGATGTGTAGTTAAGTTTTGTGCTATAAATTGATTTTACTTGAGGACAAGCAAAAGTTCAAGTTTGGGGGTGTGTTAAGTGTATATTTTTATACTTAATTGCACCTTTTAATTGGGGCTTTTGGTGTGTTTTAACGATAATTGGTGCTTAAAATGGTTATTATTTGTATTTTAGGTACAAATTGAAGAATTGGAAACTTATGGGGTCAAAACTGCAAATTCGGAGAAAAAGTGGGCCAAAAGTAAGAAAATCAAAACTCTGAAGAATTAAAGACCGGACGGCCGTCCGGATTTCAAGTCTAATTCTCACACGGCGGTCCGGGCTCACGAAGTGGCGTAGTGAAGGAAGTTTAATTACACAAGGAAACCAGCCGCTTATATTTTTACACTCTATAAAAGGCCAAAAAGCACACAATTAGGAATCTATCTTTTATCTTTTATCTTTTATCTTTATTTTTCTACACGCAATCTAGGAGCAAGAGAACGGAGCAACGAAGACGAAGACTTGACGAATCTTCATCATAGTTCTTCCTTTACTTTTATTTCTAGATTTTTATGAACTTTCGTATTTTTATTATGCTTTTCGTTAAGAACATGAGTAGCTAAGTTTTTATTCTAGGATTTTGTTGGAACCCTATGTGGTGATTTTCGAACCTATTTTTCTAATATTATGAAAGTTTAAATTCTTCGATTATTTCTCCTATTTGATCTTATTTAGCGCATGAAAGTAGCTAATTTATGTTGCTATATGTTATTGTTAGAATTGATTGACAGGTCGTTTTAATAATTAGAACAAGGATAGGAGAGCCTTCGACTTTTCTCCAATTAATTTCTGGAATTTCAGCCAAGAACCGAGAGAGAAAAAGAGAGAGTAGGCGAGAGAGAAAGAGAGCGGATAGAGAAAGAGAGAAGACGAGAGAGTATTTATCGGGGATTACCAAGTCATAAACTTGATCGCCAAGTTTATAAAAATATTATTATACTTATCCCCAAATTTTCTATTAATAACACATCAGCCCCAAATCTCATTATTTATTACAATAGACTCTCGTATAAATTACGAGGTGTTACATCAAAGGCAATTATGCGAGCAGTTCGTGAAGAGGCTGAACATCAAGAGCGCGAGCGCGAGCGCATGACTATGTCTACACGACGTAGGCGAGAGGCTGAGAGAACTGCTGAAGCCAGATCATCGGTTCCACATCCCGATGTTGGGTCTTCTCGTGCTATGGAGGAGGAGGAGGAGGATGTTGTGGACCCCGTTCACGAGACTGAGGTTGTAGCTCATGGAGGTCGTGGAGGCCGAGGACGGGGTCGTGGTGGTCGTGGTGGTCGAGCTCATACTCGAGTCAATCCGGATGCGCTAAATGGTCCATTTTGCGGTGACCCGCGGGATCCGTCTTTGATTCCGAGTTTCAAGTCGCACGTAGCGGCATATATTTGGAAGGGAGATGTAAGTTAATTACTTCTTTTAGTTTTAATATTTAAATTTTTGTATCTTATATTACAATACTTTTATAGTTGATTAATTAATATATTTTCTAAATAAATGATTGCAGGAACGTCCGATTGGACGAGTTGAGTCCCTTATCAACTCCCTGAACCAATTCAACTACGAGATGATAGCAGCTGCCCTAGAAGACATAGATGTATCCGTAGACAAGCATTTTCTGCGGATGACCGGTTTGTATCCCATAGCCCGATGTTATTTACCGGGCCTAGATGCTCCGCTGTTGTTTGCATTTCTGGAGTGGTGGCAGCCAGAGACAAACAGCTTCCATATGCCGTGGGAGAGATAACTATCACTCTCCACGATGTCCAGATGATTTTAGGTGCCAATGTGGAGGGACGGGTGGTCGCGCTTAGGTACGACGAGGTCATCGAGCGGACAAACTGCGTGTATTTGCTGTCCGATGTGTTAAACCTCGAGTTTGAGAAGATTGACGAGTCATGGAAGCATAGGGGCCCCACATCGAGGATGATACAGGGACAGTTGTTGATGCCCGATACGACCATGAGACGCCGAGTTCAGATATACCTGGTGTTTCTCCTCGGATCGATTTTATTCCCCGACAACATATATGATCGGGTGAAGCCGTGGTATATGCACGTGCTCCAGGATTCAGTGCTTGATGAGGTCGGCACGTATTCGTGGGGTTCGGCCTATTTGGCCAATCTATACAGGGAGTTGGGTATATGCAGCCGAGCACAGTCGAGGAGCTTGGCGGGTTGCACCACCCTTCTTCAGGTAAATTTTAATATATTTTGTACTTATTTTGTTCATTTTAATATATTTTAATAAATTTTGATATCTTTAAATAAAATATTGCAGTGCTGGATATACGAGTATTTCCCGAGATTCCTGCCGCCGGAGGAGAGCGAGCGCTACTGCGAGTTTCAACCTCGATGCTAGAGGTGGAACGCGCCGCCAAAAGCGGGCTCGCTCGAGCATATTCAAGGTTTACTCGATAATATGACAGCGGATGATGTAAGTCTTTTATATTTATGTATTTATATTTTTTTTAAATATGATTTTTTTGGTTTATGTTTGTAGTTTGTTTAAATATAAATTTTTCGGTTTATGTTTGTAGATTGTTTAAATATGAATTTTTTGATTTATGTATTTATATTGTTTTCTGTTTAGGTCGAGTGGCTACCGTATGGTCGGGATATACACGAGGGTATCCCTCGTACGTTGTATCATGGCACGATCCAGTACATGTGGGTCGTAGAGCCGTATATGCCTGATCGTTGCGTCCGACAGTTCGGGTGGGTTCAGGATATTCCGCGCGGCTTGATTCCATCGATGGAGCCATGTTCACGCAGTCCCAAAGGAGGTACATCGTACAAAGTCAACTACCCATTTCCGGGTGGGATGTGGGACATGGTCCAGGCTCATTCCATTCATGCCAACGTATACAAGACGGCACGACAACGGGGGGAAGTCGACGAGCACTATATGGAGTGGTACACCGATCGGACTCATCTGAAGATCAACAACCCCGGCGTAGGCCCGGCTCCAGTGCATCGAGAAAATGTGAGGCCACCAGATCAGCCGGCTTATTACCAGATAGTACATGCATTGTACCCAATCGCTGCCCGATAGATTGGCATCGACCATGGTAACGACAACTACGACGACGATCATGAGGTGCAGCCGCCGAGGAGAGCGAGGCGGTAGTTTATCGATTTTTTTTGCCAGTTATGTATTTTTATGAACTATTTAATTTTAAAGTTTATTTTTATTATTATTAGGACTATGCATTTTTATTATTGTTAGGAACTATTTAATTTAATAATTTGTTTTCATTTTTATTAGGAACTAATTATTTTACTAATCTTGTTTATTATTATTACGAACTATTTAATTTACTAGTTTGTTGTTTTGTATTTTAATTCACTAGTTTTATGATTTGAATTTAGAAACTACGTACAACGAAGCAATTAAAGTACACATTTAAACAACCTTACAAACAACCTTACAAATTTAATCATTCCAAAAACATAGGTTAAACATATAAAATGCAAAACACAACGCTACAAATTTAAATATTCCAAAACATAAATTAAACATTAAAATGCAAAATTAAAGCAAATACAAATTTAAACATAAGTTAAACTTTCAAATACCCGGCAGATGGTTATGATTACCATTACTCACACTCAATCGCCATAATCCATCCTCCGTTGATTTTTTGTCAATTAACCTGAACGGACAAGAACGTTTCTTCAATAGTACGTGTCGTCCAAATTGATATCTTGCACGCGTTAAAACATGATATTTTTCTGATTTACAATGATTTATCAATCGATGATTATGACTAATTGTTGTATCTTTTGCCCACATAATTAACGCTTCTCTACTATCACACACAATACCACGTTCAAAGAAGTGACTATGATCGTGAGATTGTTCTCTTAGTTTCTGCATAAATATTTTAAATTAAAAGACAATATTTAAGGGATTTCGTAGAAAAACATACGAAATGTAAACTACAATTTCGTATAAAAACAAATGAAATAAGAGCTTCCATTTCGTAGGTTTTACTATGAAATGTAAGCTTTAATTTCGTATGCTTGTCTACGAAACAAACAACAAACGATTTTAAGACATATTTCGTATAGTATACACGAAATGAGAGCGTATATTTCGTGTGTTATAACACGAAATGTCTAAAAACGTTAGAAATGAACAAAAACCGTGTATTTTCACCTCAAAATCGAAGCCGTTGCCATTCATGTCGATAATACTTATGCTCTAACTGATATTGGTCGAAAAATTACTCAAATTGAAAAATTTCAAGAATTAAAGGTTGAGAGTGTTTGAGAGGAGAATTGGATAAGATTTGAAAAAGAAAAAGAAATGAATTATTTTGCACTACGAGTGGTAAAAACCGCACTGATAATAACAAACCCATCATTTATTGGTCACTTCACATTATATGAACAGTATTAACCACTCTATCAATATAAATAGGCTTAATCCCACGTTGCACCCTCGAAACAAATAAATAGCACTTTGCACCCTCAGAATACAATAAATCAATTTTTAGCATCTCAACTGAAATTTAAACCTAATAAAGGTAATTTAATATTTTTAGTGATATTTTTTTAGGATGACAAATGTCGAATCAATTTTTTTTATTCATCAATCATTTTGAAACTATAAAGTGCAAATATAAAAATATATTAACATATTTAAAAATTATATTTTTATCACAAAAAAAAATTACGAAAAAAATCCTTCAGCTATTTTGTTTTCAAGTTATCTGAAAATCATTTTTTTTCCAAATATGATTACCTTATATTTCCACCAGTTACAATACAACATCCATCAATTGAATGATTTAGTGATACAAGTTTAATTTATTTTATATAGTTTTTTTTTTAAATAATCCGGCGTGATTTCAATTTTTTCGCACTTTGCACGCTCAAAATTAGATTGAGCATTGAAGAAAATAACAATTTATTTTTTTATTTTACATCCCGAAAAGAAACAATAAAATATGAAATTGCATTTATTATTCAATTTATGGTGCATTGTGAATGATTTATTGTGTTGTGAAGGTGCAAAGTGTTATTATTACTTTATAAGGGTGCAAAGTGCCAAAATGCTCTATTTCAAGGGTTCAAAGTGGGATTAAGCCATATAAACATCGTATAATTAATATTTTTCAAAGTAACAAGCATTTTTTCCCGTGAAATGCACGGGATACCATTTCAAAAATGAAAATAATAATTAGTTTAATATATGACAATAACAATTAAAATGAAAACTTAATTTTCATAATATGAAATTGATCATTAAATAAATAAATCAAAGAAAATTTTGAGAAAATAAGCTGAAAAATAGGAGATAATATTCGGTGCGAAAATAAATAGAAACAAAAGTGATGGCGAAATAGTATATATATATATATATATATATATACATATATATATATATATATATATATATATATATATATATATATATATATATATATATATATATATATATATATATATATATATATATATATATATATATATATATATATCTACCAAGTAGATTATACTTTAGGGGAAACCCCCTCATTTCGAAAATATTTTGACATACCCCCCTCGGCCACCCTGAAGTTCCTATAATGCCTTCTTAAAATCAGTTTTATAATACCCTTCAAATCCCGCCTCCATATACCTCCAACCGGCGAAATTGCTTCCCGAAGTTATAACTCTCTCTCCGGTGGTCGGAATTCAATAGTTTAACTACCGTTGGATTCCTCTCGCCGAGCTCTTTCTTTTGGTGGTGATTTCATTCAGTTTGGAACTCTGGATCTGTTTTTGTAAATTTTTTTCATTCGACGACGGTGGTCTTGCCGGAGGTGTAAATTGTGTTCCACCAATCGAAATTTAACGGGCTACCCACCGTTGGATTCCTCTCATCGAGATTTATATTTTGATGGTAATTACGTTTATTTATATGTTTTCACATTTATTTCTATATTTTTTTTCATTTGTGGGCCCGCGGAACTGTGGGTGGTTATTAGCGGCGGCTAGAGTTTTGGTAGGAGGCGAGGGGGGTGAGGAGTCACTGTCTGTTTGATTTAAAATCTTTAGCATTTTCCAGCAATAACCTATCTCTCTATCTCTCGATCTCTTAGTGTTTGTTGATTTTTGAGTGTTTTGATGTTTCTTCAAATTTTGTTGATTTGCACTAAAGTAATTTTTATTTTTATTTTTTTATTTTGAAATTGCAGTTTAATGAAAGCCATTGATCATCTCCTTGAAGGTGTCAAAAATTTGGTTGAAGTGACATCTGCTTCAAGTTACATGTTCAACAAACTGTATCCATTACTATACATTATTATACGTTACTATAAATATAGTAACATATGCATATATTTGTGTATTTTCGATTTGTATTTTATTAGTTATGAGATGATTTATAATAAAAATATTGAAATTTGTAAATTTTTGTTGGGGTTTATGATTTTTGTTTTTTGTATAAGCCAGTATTCGTGTGTGTATACAATTGATCGACTAAAAATATGGGGTAAAAAAACGAACATAACTACGAACTACTATAATTTGTAAAAATTGTAAGAATCAAATCGTAAATAGTAAGATTTAATCTATCCATAATATTTGAATTGATTAAATCTTACGATCTTATGATTTTTACAAATTAAGTTTTATTCTTTTATGATAAAATTCAATAAAAAAATACTAAACTTTAACTATACATAGTTACTCCGATTAATACGTTTTTGTAAATTGTTGAGTTTAACCGATTCAAATATTTGAATATTGTCTACAAATTGAAATGACTTGACCTTAATCGTTTCAAATCTTTGAATATTGTTTTCGAATTGAACACACATGAGCTTAATTGATTAAAATCTTACAATTTAAGATTCAATTTAAACTTTAAATTCTTTCAAAATTTATTTTTAAATTACACAAGTTGATCTGCATTTCCTTAGATTTTTAAATTTTATTATATATAGATCTGTTAGTATTGAATATTTTTAATCTATAATAATAATTATTATATGAGAATTAGTAATTTATTTAACATTATTTATATGAATTTTATAATCATTATACACTGTAGCGTTATGATATATATGCTTATTGTTAGGTAATTTTCAATAATTTGTTGTGTCCTAATAGTAAGTATTCTTGTATGATTCAAGAGGGTTACCAGTTCGAATCTTATAGGATTCATTTTTGGACAAGTGGTTTAATGATTTTTACGAATAAATGTAAAATTGACTTTACTAATTCAGCAATAAATAAAAGGGCCCATTTGATATACACCCCTTATAAGCAACTTATATAGGGTTAGGTCCACCCCTAAAATTCTTTCTTTGAGATAACCCCCTAGAGAGGTAAAAGTACCATTGGGCCCTTATGTTCAATTTCCACCCA